CCGTTCGGAGGCGGCTTAGTGTAAACTGTAGGTCCCTCTATTTGTTGGAAAAATATCAGGACGCAAAACTACAAATTGGAGGAGGAGATCGCTTTAGCGGTTACAAAGCGCTAACTCGATTGTGCTTATACAAACACGAGATACAGATTAATAAAGCCAACTATTCGAAAAGTAATGGTTTTCTTTTTACTAGATCCAATATTAGGGTCTGGCCACAAGTTCGTTCAATGGGCGCAAAGCTACTACTAAATTTTTTGTAAATCAAATGATAAATGCAAATTCTTCAAATAGATCGGTCCCAAGTCTACTTACCGGAAGGAAAAGAGAAGGAAAATGAACGATTGAAAAATAAATTCATTTATTTCGTGTAGATCGAAAAGATTGGTATCAGGTTTACTTCCCAAAAAATACTTTGTTATCGGGATCAGCCATCAGTCATTCAGGATAAAGCCTTATATATATATATATACTTCTATGTTGATAAGAATTAAGTACTTAAAACTTTGTTTTTCATTTCACTGGAGTTGGTTTCTTTGAGTAATGGATGCTACAATCACCACTTTAGCCGCTTGATACTAAGGCAAAATATAATGTATAATTAAAATTTTATTATCGACGTGCTCCTCCTCCACTTTCTGGTATGCCTCTCCAAAAATTACAACAAAAAAAAAAGAATACAATAGTGGAGGCAACCAATAGTTCTAAGCCGCTTCTGAGCCGATGAGATTTTAGGGGGAAAAATTTTCATTTCCATTTCATGCCAGAAGTAGACTCTAAGGACAATAAAATTCCCTGCCGTTTGGTGACTCTAACCTTTATCGTCCGCATCGTAGCAAGCACTGCTAACAACTCTGCCATGGTGCCCGCATGTGATTTGCTTTCGCAGATGCATCGCCATGATAAATACATAAAAAATAAATTTAAAAAAAATATGTATAAATATAATTTTGAGATAGAGATCTATTTTTCTAATTGCATTCGTCCCTCAGCAGGGAGTATAAAACCCTCCAAGTGCATTTTTATCATGAAATAAAAAAAACCATAAGCCGCTCGGAGACGGCTTGGTGCAAATTGTAGGTACTGTAGGAATCTACTTCAGCATTTGTTACTTGCTATTTTCAACTTATAAATTTTTATATTACAAAATTTCATCTTCAGATTATTATAATTGTCTCTTTCAAACAATCAAAAAGTGTATAATACAACTGTGATAAATTTCCGTTTTTGGGTAATTAGCTTTCTGTGACATCTTGTAGATGCTGACAGAAAAACAAATCAAAACCTTTCGCCAAAATATTTTTATGAATTTATCTTGCTGATGATACTCTCATAGATGTATTATTTAAATCATTGTATAAATAATAAATAAATATATTTCAATAAACGATTACAACGATACAATTTCATTGCTCATACATACCTACATACGCATGTACGAGTAGATACATGTGTATATGTAAGTCCTATCAAGGAGATATCATCAATATATGAGCATCCTTGTGTGAGCTACATATATTCTTGCATTTTCTATAGCTCTCACTAAATATCGTTACCATTTCCTCCACTCACATGTCCTCTTAAACTGTGAAACCTGAAAAGAAGGGGCTCCAAAGATACTCATAAATGCATTTACCCTACGGCTAAGTACCAGTAAATGACTTCCGCAACGAGTTGCAGGCAGCCACATACTTATACATGCATATGTATGTGTGTGTGTATGTGTCTGTGTGTATGTGTAAGTGAATAGTTGTAAATATGCAGTGCTGGCTTTAAATATCGCTCCAATTTGTTTGGTCATATGTTATAGTTGGAGCAACGGTAACGCTATTGCCATGAAATACTTATTTGCAAATACTCGTATGTATGTAAGTGTGAAGTAGGCACATATGCAAATGCTTGTGTGTTTGTGTATATGAAAGTTTCAAATCATATACGGACATATATGTACATAACATATATCCTTGAACTATCTCCACAGGCGTAGCTAGCAAATGCTTAGCACAGGGGGGGTGGCATAAAAAATTTCAAAGCTTTATGTATGAATGATTTTATTTTTTTAATCAAAACTCAACGCATAGTTTCCAAAAAAAAAAGATGGAAAAAATACCTAAAGCACATATCTGTGTGACATCAAGACCTGATGAAATTTAACACGAAACGATTGCGGCGAACTTTTCAGTTCTTTCCTCCAACGTAGAAAAGTTATTTTGACTTTTATTTCACGCATTCGTTCATAAAATCATAGCATGAAGAGGCTCAAAATGAACTAGAAAATTATTGCTCGGAAAATTTTTTTAAAGAAAAAACTTAAAGTCGTTTTAGAAATCTTCTTCATTGGCAGCAGCACCACTTTTGTGATTATAGCCGAATCAACAAGGTGATCATTGAACTCTTCGCTTCACTATTTTACGCTAATTAGAGATACCAAGTGAAATTAGTTCGCTCTGTCCCTTAGACTTTCAACAGCGGGTACCGAATACTTTAAAGCTGGATTGCTTCCATTCATTAGGATCAAGCGATCTAGCTAATGTCAATCGTATAACTCATGCAGCTCAACGTTCAATTGTCTGCCATACTCGCTGCTGTCTAAATGCAATAAATCATAAAGCTTTTGCAACTTTTTTCTCTCGAAGGCTCCCAAGTTTGGCTTTTCGGATGTCGACATTGTGTATGATATATGATAACAGGACAGGTATTAGGAGGGACTTGTAGAGCTTGGTTTTGGTTCGTCGATTTCAATTGCCTAACTTTTCTTTCTTCGTTCCATTTCAAGGCCTGCATTATTATTGGCATTAATGCTGGTTCCTGGAAAGACAAAACTTTCTGTGACCTTGGAGTTACGACTCTCTATGACAACATGAGAGTTGGGTTGCAAATGCGATGACTGTTTGTCATTACTACGGGAACCATATTCTTTGCTTTCTTCTCAAGCCTGTCTATTTTGCTGCAGAGTTCTTAATATTTTCTCCTGAATAAAATTAAAGAAAACACACGATAAAAAGTCAACCTGTTGGAATCCTCGTTTGGTAGCAAAAGGCTCAAAAAAGTATTTTTCGATCCTTAGTGGTGCTTAAGGTCAGTTTACACAGAATTACTAATTTTACTAAATTGTGAGAAAGCGGCTTGAATCAAAATGTTTTTCATCTTGCAGAAGGCTATTTTAAATCGACGAAGAGGAGCTGTTTTTCGATTCTCTTTTCAAGGTTTTTTTCGAGGATTTGGTGCATGGTGAATATTTGTTTAATTGCAAATTTTTTGGCACCAGAGCCACACTGATAACGTCCAAGCAGTTTGTTGATGATGAGGGCTAGTCCTACATAGAGTACTCTTCATAGGACCTTTTTTCATACCTCATATGGGTGCATAAGTATGCCCCTTTCTTGAAAGCTTCTGTGAGAGGCTGCATCTTTTCGTAGAATTTTTTAGCCTTAATTTTTGTCATCCAGCTTCTCAAGCTCTTTGTACTTCCACTTCTAGCTTTTCTCTTCAGTTCTCAGTAATTATACTGCACGTGTTGTGGTATACAGAGTAATCAGGGGTTTTGCAGGCAACACATTGCACCACGCATACAACGGTAATTTTAATAGATGGAAAGCAATAATTATTAAAAATTTTTCTCATAGCATTTACAATTCTCAAAATTAATACCTCTCCAATATTCATAAAACTCTCAATGAACAAACCCTCCGAGTATTTCTAACATGAAATTAATTAAAGCTACTCAGAGAAATCCAACAGATTTGGCAAGCATTGTGGTAGCTACTTTAAGGTCTTTATAGCGGCATTTATAAATGTTAGAACGAAGAATATTGATTTATTAAGTGCAAAAATTATTGGCAATATTCGGTTGGATACGCTGCTAAAAAAAATACATAAAGTCAACTCGTTTTTGTATATTCAAGAAAGAGGTAAAACGTTGCCTACATTTCGGGGTCGCCGTAATAAATATACCACTAAAGGCGCTAAAAATAGAAATTAAGTAAAACAATGTCGAATTCAAACAAAGTACGCTCAGAAAAGTTAATTGAAAGTATAAAAAAGAGAAAACTAAAGTCTACAAAAATGCAAAAATATATTTTTTCTTAAATATAAAAGCGCTAAATTTGTAAAAATAATCTCAATAGAAGAGATATATATTATATTATATTTTATTATATTAGTACCAGTTTTATGTTCATTTCTGAGTTTATTTTAGTTTTCTTAGAATCACTACAAACATATATAGAAGATGAATTTGAGACTGCTGATTAGTTCAATAATCAATATTTTTGCTATTTGCCTTGGTTCCGAAATAATTACAAAAAGTTTAGCTTCGCAAACTTGCCAATTTCGAGGTGATTAAGCCTCCAAATTACCAACTGCTACGTGCTGCCATTTAAAGGCGAATGCAGATACATATAATGAAGGAGTATCGTTTAAATCAAGTGCAGGCACACACACAAATATATATATACGTAAATGTTTCCTAGTTTATAATTCATACCAATATACATATATTCGTACATACATATACACAAGAGAGAAAACAACCGCAAAACCAAACTGAACCATGTTAATTACTCGCCTTGAGGCACTTGAAGAAAACCAAACAAAACTTGTTTGTTTGTATATATGCATGAATACAAGCAACAATACAGTTTATTATACACACACAATACGTATATATGTGTGTATATATAAATGAGTGTTAGTGTAACGACGCCATCAACCGCAGCTTCTCAACAACCGCAATGTCAGTGTAACGAATGCAACGGCATACCACTGCTGCGCCATTTACCTACACACACACACAAACATGCATACATTTAGTATGTATATGCACTGCTCAGCTATTGCGGGCACTTTAAATGCTTGACGTTACGACAACGTTTTAGTCTTTCATTCTTGTTTTTCATTTATGTATGTATTTTTCTTTCACTCTGTTCTTGCTTTCTTGCTTTCTTGCATTTCACCAAAGACTATTAAATAGAGTAAATCGTTTTTCCTCTTCTAAATTGCAGACTCGCCCAGATGCCGACCGGGCACAGAGCAAACATCACTTGGAGCACTGAATATGCACTCGGTGCAGGTGAAATGTGAAGTGGATGCAGATCCGCCAGACTCGGTGAAATTCAGTTGGACTTACAACAACACGAGAAATGTGTCGCCGGTTAGTATGAATATGACTTACATATATATACATATATTACCTATTCTATATATAAATATATATATATATATTTACGAAGACATTTAGCTACATTTTGCTACCAATCAATAATTGAAATTCATCTTAAGCGGTGGTTGACTTGGAAGGTTCGAGTTTGCAGCGGAAACTTGCCTGCACATACATAAATGAGAGAGTCTGATTATTTTAAATATCTTCTTGTGTACTTTATATGTTTGTCTGGAGATTTACAGTATGCGCTTGTAAGCAAATACTAAATAGCAGAAGGGAATTATAATAGTATTGTATCTTCATTGGGTATTGGGCGGAGACTGTAGTGGTGTGAAATAAATATCAGTAGAACCACAGAGAAGAAGAGAAGAAGTGTTGCCAGCCAGGGAGAAACAATATAATTTCCAAATTTGGAAAGATTGCGCCTCTTTAAATATGTGTAAAACTATTTCATTGACTAGTTTTTTGTGAACTAGTTAGGAACTAGTTCAATATACTCTTGTGAAAAACAATCAAACAGTTTTCTGCATCTCAGTAAGTGAAAGCTTTGCCTTCTCCCGTGCGTGAAATTACAACACAAAGGCTTTTTTGAGATATTAACAAGAAAATTTCAAACATTAATAAAAATTTTTTTGCAAAATTATAACTAGTCCTTATTAACTGGACTCCAATTAGTTACGAGAGTTTTAATCTATCTGGTATTTTTCTCATCAAATATAAACTATTTATTTGCAAGTTGCTTAGTTACACTTTTTATGTTACTAATAACAACAACAATTAGAAGAGAAAGTTAGTTATTAAAGCTTACAAGTACTGATATTAAATATACACATAACTACAGAGTTTTCAATAAACTCTTTTCTTTCATCAACACATAATTGAGATTTTCATAACTTCTTTGAAACTAGTTGCCAACTAGACACTTTGGGAATAGTTTTTTTTCGTGCATTACTACCAATTTGATCTCTACAATTTTGAAACTTGCAATGTATTATTTTTTCACTCCGCTCAAGATTGGTAAATCGATATTTATTTGAATAAAATAAAAAGAAAAGGAGCACATCACTCAAAGTATTGTCCGTCGGAAGCGACTACTCCTTCCCATTTCCCAGACAATACAATCTTTAGAAAGTGCGCTTTCTTTGCCATTTTTGATTTCCGCAAAAGGCACGAGCCGGTCGCTCCACTCCAAATCGTTTTACATCCATCGATAGAGACAGTAATCGGAAGAAGCAAGGTATGTAAAATACGGGTGGTGTAATAAGACCTCTCATTTCAGTATTTCTAGGTAGTTGTGAGTATTACAGGAACTTTATTCCGAGCGTTGCCTTGGTGCAGAATCATCTTTTCATGCCTTCAGGTAATTTCTGGCCTTTCTTCGCGCAATGTACGAACCTCATTAGTTGTAGTCGATAAAATTTTACAAAAATGATTTCGCCCGGTTCTAATAATACACTTCATATTCAACCTTTTTGGGTTGGCTAGTATATTCTCTTTCTTCGACGCTAAAACCACCACGACATAGCGTGAAGCGTCAAAACCACTCTCTGCATGACTTACCGGTCAGCGCAGATGCGTCATAAACTACTAGCATTCGATAAGCTTGAGCTGCATTCTACTCTGATTTAAATGGAATATAAAAACATAAAGCGAATTCTGTTTATTTTACTTAAATCCAGATGTAATATATAATCACTTCCAAGTTCGGCCACAACTGGCCGTATATAGTGCATACTCTACTTTTATTTTTGTTTTATTATAATAAATATTTTAATTTTTATCAAAATTTTTATTCTCATTGTAATATTAATTTTTCATTTAATAATTTTTTTTTTTGCTGAACTGCTATATTTTTATGAACCAGTTTCGAACTAGTTATTTTGGAACATGTTGAAAATGTTTTGCTCTCTATTGCAAACTGTGTCTTACTTCCTTTTCCACATACACATTTACGTGAAAAATTAGCTAAATCCGCTCACAACTATGCTGTTGCTTTTTTAAAGAGTGAAAAATCAAAACTCCTGTTTTCCCCTGATTAAGCTCCAAGTTTTTATTCGCATATACACTTTATAACTTTTACGCACGTTCTCTTCACTTCGCTTCTTAATATACAGTCTTGAGTTAACCATTCTTTGCTCAAATAAATAAAGTTTGATTGCCGAAGAACTCGTCGTTCAGGCGCTCGCTCCACACTTAACCTTCGTGCCCGCAACATATCTTTGAACGCAACACCATATATGTATGGGTTTGGGTTTTTTGTTATAGTGTGTATTGTGTGTCTGCGTGTTTGTCAAGCATTGCCGGCAACTTGGTTCCTCAACCCAGTTGCTTGGATCCGCACGCAAAAACATTTACGTACTCCGGAGAATACTAAATTTAAAGAAAGTTTTTGTTTCAGCAACTATTTTTTTTTTTGTTTTACTTTATTTAAAAAGAAAATACACACAAGCAAAAGAAAAGCGAGTAGCATATCTTCCATTGGCTTCCGTCTGTCTGTCAGCTGCTTTCGTCGGTGGTCAGTCAGTGCATTCAAAGTCCAACGTCCAGTGTAAAAGCAGGACATTTCTATTTTTGCCAACAAAAATGTATTGCATTTGCAATTTCGTTAAAGCTGTCTTGGCTCTAGGGAGAATAGAAGCATCAGCGCTGAGTGTAAAGACTAAAAGACAACTCAGCGACCCATCGGACAGCCAACAACGTACGTGACTACAGGAAAATCTAATAAATTTGAGCGACTATAAATTATTTATTTCTTCCCGAGGACAACAACGCTTATACAAGAACATCCACATATATACACAGAACGGTAAACATGACAGCTTCCTTGATATCAGCATTTCTGCAGTGCTTGCAGCAGCTTCCACTTCTACTCTCATCAACAGTACTTTCTCTTAACTCCTCTTAATACACTCTTATACCCAGAAAACATTTAAAATCGCAAGTACGTCAATTAAGAGTTGGTCTTGATTGTCCATTAAACAACTTATTGAAATAAAATGAGTAAAAATATAAAAATTAAAAGAAAATAAAAAATTAAATTGCTAAACTAAACTCAAATTAAACAAACTAATCTGGTCTGAATATAAAATAAATTAAACTTCACTGAATGAAAAAAAATTATATCATCAAAATAATTTTAAATAAAATTAAAAAAAAAAAATAACATAAAAGAAAGTGAAATAAAACATAAAATGAAACCATTTAATACAATATAAATAAATTATTAAAAAATGAAACAAAAGTAGTTTAAAAAATAAATTTAAAAAATAAAATAAAACAAAATAATATAAGCTGAAATAAAATAAAATCACATAAAATAAACAAAAGAAAATTTTCCAAGCAAAATAAGGAAAATAAAATAAAATAAACTAAATTCAAGTAAATAAAATAAAATAAATAAAATGAAACAGAAAAATAAAATAAAAAAATTAAATTAAACTAAATTGAATTAAACAATAAAAAATTAAGAAAAATATATAAAATAAAGTAAAATAAAATAAAATAAATTATAATGAAACAAATAAAATTTAGTAAACTAAAATCAAATAAAATAATTTAAAATAAAATAAAATAAACAATAAAAATTAACAAAATAAAATATAAAATTAAAGTAAAATAAAATAAAATTTAATAAAAAAATAAAACTAAATTAAAATAAATAAAATATTTAAAATAAAATAATATAAAATAAAATAAAATAAAATAAAATGATATACAAAATATAAAATAAACAATAAAAATTAAGAAAATAAAAAATTAAAATAAAATTAGCTAAAACGAAAAATAATTAAAATATAAAGTAATATAAAATAACATTAAATTAAATTAAATTAAATTAAGATTAATAAACTGCAATTAAATAAAAAATAAAAATTAAAAAAAAAACTTAATTAAAGTAAGATACATTGAAATAAAATGAAGTTAAAGAAAATAAGACTAATAAAATAAAATAAAATGAAAGCAAAATAAAATAACATTTAATAAATAAAATAAAATTGACGAAATGAGGTGAGGTAAAAAAATTAAATTAAATAAAATCAAAATAATTAAATAAAATTAATTGATATAGAATTAATAAAATAAATAATAAATAATAAACAATATTTTAAGGTTTTCTAATTTTTTCTTAGAATTTAAACCGTTATGGCTCATTTTGAACTTATTTGTATGTAACGATTTTTTTATAATATTAATCATGTACTACCTGAGTATCTAGTTGGTGGAGTATTCTAAGCCTCTAAGCTTTCGGCACTTCACAGCTGGGTTACATTTTATAGTGTTTGCACTTCATAACTGTATTTTCACTCAATGTACGTTTGCGGTCATGAGCACATAGTTTGTGAGATATCTCATACCACAGCCGTACACTCACACATAATTTTATTACGATACTTTCTTATTCATATTTATGGAGAATAAATATTTATTTTAATAACTTTATACCGGCAAAGGATGAAAACTTAAATCTTTGCGATTCAAAATTTATTTCAAAACTTCCGAACTTTTTCATCACTTTTTTCTCTTTCTTATTTCAGGTGCTCAATTCGAGAATCACTTCAAATGGTCTGGTCAGCACCGTTACGTATTTGCCACAAACCGACTCCGAACTGATAACGCTCGCCTGCTGGGCCAGCAACTCGGTGGGACGTCAAACCATCCCCTGTCTGGTGCATATACTCCCAGCAAGTAAGTGTAAATTGAAAATAAGTAACTGGACATAAGTATGTAAGTGAAGCGTAATCTAGTGAAAATTAGAATCCAACCAAAAATGTATATGACAATCAAAACCTACAAAAACAACAGCAACAAATGCTTTATAAGCTCTTAGGGCAATTTGACTTGTAAATCTTTAAACTCATTGGTCAACTGACTTATTTGGGGGGGGGGGGATGCATAAGCCAGTATGGCAGTCGTTGTTTTTCAGTGTGAGTTTGAGGCTTTGAAGGTAAGAACGATGTGCCCCACTCTCAGGTCAAGGGTTGAAAATGGCATCTAAGTAGAAGCCAACACAGTTTCTAAGTTAGAATTCGCTAATTTTTACTTTCTCCATTTTACTTTTTTGCCACTTTATGGCTTCACATTATCAAATTGCAATTTTCACCACACAATGATGCAATAACAGTAAAGACAAGTGAGTATTTGCTGAATGGTGCACTGCAGCTACAAGTATTTGGGCAAACGAGCAATTCAAATAGAAATGGAGTAAATTGTAATTGAGGTATTGACACATTTGTGAATTAATACGCACGTATATATGCGTATGGGGGTACGCATACATATGTGCACATACGCACATTCTAAATAACGCTTAGTATAAATTCAAATCATTGGTATTTCTTCGAAGGGCTTAGATGTCGTTACATGATGATAACACTTATTTTTACATATTTTTATCTATTCTATTTCCTTTTATTTTATTTTATTTATTTTAATTGTATTTAATTTTAATTTATTTTACTTTATTTTATTGAATTGTAGTTTATTTTATTTTATGTTATTTTATTTTATTTTATTTNTTATTTTGTTTTATTTTATTTTATATAATTTTATTCTTTTGGTTTATGTTATGCTGCTGTATTTTATTTGCGTTATTTTTTATTTAATTTTATTTTACTTTATTTTATAAAATTGTATTTTATTTCATTTTTTTTTATTTTATTTTACTTAAGTTTGTATAATTTTTTTTTTTTTTATATTATTGTATTTGGTTTTAACTGTCCACAGGGCAGATACATTCCTGAATCGCTTATACTTACATGTATTTATATATTTATTGGCTACACTCAAGTGTACCCTTATGTTGGCTATACAATTGTTTATAATTAATTATTTACCCAATTTACCTCCTCTAATCGTTTCTTCGCAGATCCACCAGAGGCCCCAAAGGCATGTGAACTGCGCAATGATACAGTTTTGGAAGTTGTTTGTTTGGCGGGCAATGATGGCGGTCTTACACAATATTTCCTGCTAGAGGTAATTGGCGGTGATCCGCTGTATGCGAACGATGTGAGTCGTAGTTTTGCCGATGCTAATGTGGGCGACAACGAGCTATCCACGATGAATGATCAGGTACATAGTTGTTCTTGCTGTTTGTCTAATTGAAGTATGTTTACATTGTATGCACATATATGCAAATAGGGAGTAGTGTATAAATGCACAAATGCATGCTTGAGAATGATTGAGTGCAAATGAAGGCAAATATTGCAAAATTATCAACGTCGTTCTTAATGGCTTTGTAAGCAGATATTATTGACTTGATGATATGTACAATGCATAGATGAATGTCGGCAAGTGAGCGTGGTGGAAGATAATTTTATTCGGAGCTACAAATACGTACATTCATACAATATGGATATTTCTATTGATTGGTTTGCATTGCTTAAAGCTTCCATTCAAGAGTAAAAGTTTGATAGTCTGCATTTGTATTATTTATTTTGAAATTCACTGCGGTCCTTATTGAGCATTTCCGCGGCTATATGTAGAGTACTATTTTCAGCTGAGCCGTGTTAAGATCTGTATGCATTCTGTGAATGTCTACAAATTTTCTTAATATAATATATACAGGCTTTGTCCTGAGTGAGTGATGAGTCAACCCTCATCCTAAACCATCATTGTTTGTAGAAATGTGAAATTTGAGGGCCGTATTCTGTGTATGACGTATGCACTCGACGAGACAGGACTTTCCAGTAACTATACCTGGAACTGATCCATTCGGAATAATCGAATTTATTTTTCAATCGTTTGATTTAAATAATTTTTGGTACACAGGTAACTTTTTTCCTCAGTTTATATGACCAGCGCTTTTTCTTCCGGAAAGTGAGTATTCGGATGCTTTATTATAACATGGAAGATATAGTATAGTATTCAATAATTTAGTTGTTATAATCTCTTCAGAACCATCTTAAAATTCCGAGCAGATGAAGTCAAGGGCAAACTGTAGTTTAAAATAAATTGCTTGCAAGCTTTTTAGTTGAATTTCTTTTAACAATTTTTTTTTTTTTTTAAAAAAAACTTACCTGATAGTCTTCGCCAAAAGCCATAGAACCGCCCCGAAAGTAAAATCTATCATTATTTTACCTTTATTTAACTATGAATTGAAAAGCTCCGTGCTGAACACATACATAGATGGCGTTGGTTCTATTGCCATCACTACTATTCCAGAGAGTTCCAACCTTCAAAACAAACTTAGTAATATTTCCTAATATTATACTCATGAGTTTATGAATTATTGTCCTAAGAGTGACACCAATTATGTTAATTCTAAAACAAATAAATAAAAGCAATTTTTTGCTTTAAAGTTGCAATGCTTCTTGATGGGAAAATATAACGCTCGAGCAAAGTAACGGTTTGAAAATTGATTTCAAGACTCCGCTCCATTCGAAACAACTTCATAACACTCATTCAAACGTGATCGCAGAGTCACCGATCATGTACAGTGCATTGGACATCCCAATGAAGTGGTAAAAAACCTATGTCAATATGGACTCTTCTCTTCACTCCGGAAGCAGAAACGATTGTCATCTGACAAGACACTAATCTTCTTAGACTTACTTCTTCAAAATATTTAAAATATTTTTTATCTAATTTTTGTTGTTATTATTATTTAATCTGTTAGCTTTAGCTTTGTCGCTCGTAGTCATGTGACCTGGAAGACCGAGTGAACCAGACGGTTTCAATTATTATTTACTTCCATTATATATGAAAAGAACAAAATTTTTTGAATCGTCACCATAGTTGTGAGGATGGTGACATACTGGTGTAGGTTATTATCTCCTACTAAATATTACTGCGGACAAACTAGCTTTTGTTTCTTACTTTTTGGTGAAGTAAAAGTTTTTTCATGCCTAAACTAGTATATTACTAGTATCAAGCTGATGGATATTTGGACAGTTGACCGTTTGTATGACACTGCTTATATAGGCAATAGATGAATGATGAGCTGACTAGTGCAAAATTGCAAACTAGCTGCATTCCTGTTAAAAACTAGTGTTTTGCCCTGCAGGGAGGAGATTCTGACAAAAGTTACACTCACTATTCGTTCAATTTTAAATAATAATTAAATGCAAATTTATAACGCAGTGAATGAGAGGTTAGCATTGTGTGCTGCCATTCGGAAGGCCCAGGTTCAAAATTCAAAAATGTATAAAGAAAATTAATTTAAATAAAAAATTAAGTTAAATTTTCTAATTTCGGTCACCCTCGGCAGGGAATGTCACCCCCTCCGAGTGTAATTCTGACATGGAAAATGGGCGCCTCGTAAAAAACCATCAGCCGTTCGGAGGCGGCTTAGTATAAACTGTAGGTCCTTCCCTCCATTTGACGCAAAACAACAAATTGGAGGAGGACCTCGGCCGAACCACCGCCTTTAGCGGTTACAAAGTGCCAATTATCTAAAATTATATATACTGAACTTTGGATGACTTTATTATACAATTTCTTAAAAGCTCTTGAGTTCATGTCATTAAGCGATAAAAAGGGAAAGTGTGCAAAAAACCTTCTGACATAAAATGTAACTTAGTTTAGATTTAATGAGGTCTCCCAACTTAATAATTAAAAAACACAGAAAATTCAAAATTAATGGAGAATGTCTATTGTCATTCCAAAGAACATTCTTTGACATTTATTTTTTCTTAAGAATATCTCTTTCAAATCTTGATCGCAGCTACGTTTCATGTGATCCATCAGTTGAGTCGATTTTTCAATGACTCGCTCGAGCACTTCGACTGGTAACTGGCGAATGACACGCATGATGTTTTGCTCCAAATGCCGAATTGAAGCGGAATTGTCCACAAAAATCTTAGACTTTACATATTCCCACCGGAAAAACTCTTATAGTGGCCAATCGACCGGCTCAAAACGTAAAGTTATCTGCTCACCGAAGTGTTTCCTCAATAAATCCATTCGTTGAAGCACTGTGTGGGAAACGGCATTGTCTTGTTGAAACCAAATGTCGCCGAGATCATGAGCTTCAATATCAGGCATTAAACGTTCGATTATTATGTCTCGATGACGATCACCATTTATGGTTACGTTCGTTTCAAACACGTTTTATCTCAATTAGCCTTTCCGCCAAAAATGGGTCTCAACGCTGAACAAAATGTGGCTCAAAATCGTATAATATTCTTGTAACTTTTCAATAGCTCATAGAGTTAAGCGATGACCCTTTAGAGGGTTGAGCGGCATTAGTTTTATATTTTGTACACTTCAAAACCTAGACGTAAAATGCGACAAAGCATTCCAAACGTCAGGCCGAGTTGCTACGAACGGCGCCGAATCGACTCTCCACGGTGTTCGTGTACACTCTCAGCTACGGCCGCTGCTTGTTTTTCACTGCGTGCTGGAAGTGATGTATGCGGGCGATTATTTTCCAATAAAGAATGCTGGATCTCAAGATGGGTTATGGTGTTGCGAATAGTACGCTCAGTAAGTCGATTATGTTGACCATAAATTGATCGAATCGCACGAGATACATTATTTCCATAAAGTGAATTTCGTAAGGAAATTGAGCAAATTTTTAAAAGTCATTTAGGCGTAAGTCTTTCAATTATGAAATGTGGAACAATATTGGACAAAAAAAATACGACAGCTTGACACAAATCACGGGCGATCTGTCAAAAAAGGCTCTTGAAAATAGTATAAAGACTTGGATCACCTGCTAATTTATCTATTGTCAAAAAATATATTGAGAAAGAAAATCTTGAATATTTAAAGATGGCGTAGTTTTAAAAGTGAAATTATTAGTTTACTTAAACGTTATCGGTCTTAAAAGTTATCAAACCCTTAATTAAGCACCATTTACTATTCTCTACTCATGCAACCATTCAACATCTTACCTCTTGCTGTTCTCGTTATCCTAAAAGCATACGCAAGTGCAGCATTTTTTCCACCTTTTGATATTTTCTCAAGTAATATTTCATTAGGATTACCGTTATAAGCGCTAGGCTAGCCAATGGCAAATGAGTGGTTTTGTCCAAGCGACGCCATGAACTTTTGAGACCCGAGACGCAGACATATTTAGTAATTACTTTTCCTGCGAGTTATATTGACTTATTTTTGGATTTGCATATTCCAAGCCTCATTTCCAATACAAACCTATTCAAATGCTGTAGTAAGTATTTAGGTGAAGCACCGCAATACCAAGTATTATAATCCATTGAAGAAACATAGAAGAAAACTTGAATAAAGAATTTTTTCTTTTTTGATCTGCAAAATGTCACATCGAGGTTCGTCGCACAGCTAAGCTGCAAAGAAAGGCAAGAAATAGAACATGCACAAAATATAAAGGCAGAGAACAAAATGAAAGTGTGCACACTGTTTGTTGGCAAAGCAGCCGCAGCAAGCGAGTAGCAATAATCGAACAAGTTGCAAAACTTTCCCAAACAATTAATCATCCTTGCAAACTCTATTATAAACTTTATGTTCAACGCAGATCTTTTGTGATTTTATTTTTGTTCTTCCTTTCTTTTTTACTTTCTTATTTTACTCACTTACTTCTTATTATTTTTAATGTATTTATCTTTTTTTTTGCTTTAGATACTCTTATCGAAGATTCTCCGCACTTATCTTGTGAGAATGTACAAAGTTTCATGTTGTTGTTGTTATTGTTTTGGTATTTTAATGCCTGTATTTGCACACAATCGCCTAACTGGCCACACGTGATGGCGGACACTTTATAAGCGGCAGTGTGGGTGCAGCAGCTACTCGTTGGAAAAAGCAACTTTGGAAATATTTCCGAAATAAATAATAAATAATAAGAGAAATGGCAATTTAAAATAATATTGAGACAAGAAATAATAAAAAATAATATATAATAAATAAAAAATAATAAATAATTAATAATAAATAATAAATAATAAAAAATAAATAATAAATAATAAATAATAAATAATTAATAATAAATAATAAATAATAAATAATAAATAATAAATAATAAATAATAAATAATAAATAATAAATAATAAATAATAAATAATAAATAATAAATAATAATTAAGAAATAAGAAATAAAAAATAATTAATAATAAATAATAAGGCAAATGACAATATAAAATAATATTGAGACAAGAACT